GTGTGTGTGTGTGTGTGTTTGGGCGGGTGAGGGGTCGGAGTGGGATCGGGATGGGGGGAGGGCGTGGTGAGAGGGGCCGCCACGGGATGGAGATGGGGAGAAGGAGCGTGGGAGGGGGGCGGTTGGAGATGGGGACAGGTTGTCGCGTTTTGCTTGGCCCCCTGGATGCGGCACGGCGCAACAGGATGCACGGCGCAAAGCAGGATCTACGAGCGGGCCAGCCCGCCACGCACTGGTGCGACCGCCGCCTTGCGGCCACCCAGCATCTCCCCACTACTCACGTCGCCCTAAAACCCGTGGCGGCGGCGCTCCTGCACCCCAACCCCCATCTCTATCCCAAAACCCCAACCCCCAACCCCTCACCCCGCCCCCCAAAACAAAGGTGACCCCCAACCCCGAGCTGCGGGGCATCGTGGCGCGCGGCGGCGACACGCTGCCCACGCGCATCGTGCAGGTGAGGAGGACGGACGCGGCAGGATGGGCGGGCGCATTCACGAGCAGCGTGTGGCGGCTGCCGCGGCAGTGCGAGCGCCGGGCACGCACTCACACCCGTTGTGCTCATGCACCTGTCCCTGAGCCGCGTTGGGACAAACTCCGGCGCCTGCAGTGTCAACGCTTGCCCCCGGGCATCCCTTTGCCCCCTTTCAGCCAGTTCCGGCGCCAATTGCGCAGCTTTGGCCGACCCCAGGGTCACAGGGGACCCTCCATCCCTACTAAGCAACCCTCCTGCAAACCTGAGCTTCTGCACACTCTGAAGTCAATGCTTTTTTGTACTTCAAATCCTGCTGCTGATGTACAGGATGCGTTCAGGGGTCTGGCGGGCAGCACGCTCAACTTTGTGCGGTTTGGCCGGGCCGTGGAGCGCATCGACAATTGGTACAGGAAGAGGGGCATCCTTGGACAGGTGAAGATGATGATGATCTCGTCCGATGATGCGTGATCTGGTGATCTGCACCCCAAGCTCGCCTCGTTTCCATCGCCTCGTTCTCAATCGCTGCCTGTGTCCCTGCTGCTGCCTGTGCCCAAACGCCCTCCGCCGGTGACCTCCCCCAATTGTGCACCCGCATTGGCTCAACTGTCTGGAATCACCTCGGGTCCGTGTCATTTTCTAATTCGAAGGTGGTGGACTTCACCTTTGAGGGCGGCGTGGCGGAGCTGTGCATCGGGGAGGCCAGCGTGGGGGACATCCGACTGCAGGTCTGCCGGATCTGGGGCTGTAACCCGTTGGGGCCCTCTGGGTGACCACACCCGCCTGGCGCCGCGGCTTCTTGCACCTCACCCTTTTAGCACGAGGGTCAAAGCCCCTTGTTTGTGTGTGTGGCACGGAGTGTGCGACAGGCTTGCTCAAAAGCCTGTGCGCGACGCAGGGCTGTGCCTTGGCACACGCCGCCGCGCACCGGATGCCCACACTCGAACCCGTACCCGACCCTCTCCGCCGTCCTGATTCCTTACCCTCGATTCATTGACCCTGCTCCTAATCACGTCCTAATCTCCATCCTAATCCTCCCAATCCTTGCCTTTTTGGCCATGCATCAGTTCTCTGACAGCAAGACTGGGGCTGTCAAGGAGCAGGGGGCCACGCGGCCAGAGGTGGTGCTTCGGCACCTCACGATGCAGCCAGGACGCGTGTACAGCTTGCGGCAGGTGCGCGCACGCAAATGCGCACGCGCACGCGCTTGTGTGTGTTTGTGTGTGTTTGTGTGTGTGTGTGTGTGTGTGTGTGTGTTTGTGTGTGTTTGTGTGTGTGTGTGTGTGTGTGTGTGTGTGTGTGTGTGTGTGTGTGTGTGTGTGTGTGTGTGTGTGTGTGTG